GGAACAAGACAAAAGGAAACACTGCAGACGTTCGCCTAAGGCAGGAGTGTCAAACTCACTTACAAAAGAGGGCCAAAATTAAAACCTTTTTTCAAACTAAGAGCCAGTTTCAGAAACTACTTTAACTCAAATCAGATACCCAACATCTTTTCTTGGTTGTGACTTCCTCAACAAGTGTTTGATTGGTCTCATTTGACATTCTCCGTTGTGCTTTCAACACCTTAATCAAAGAATACTGATAAAAAGTCAGGTAATAAAAGTATTTCACATTTAACATATCATCTTGGGGCAAGAAAAGATGCCATCGAAGGCCACATTTGGCCCCTGGGCCTTGAGTTTGACACATGTGGCCTAAGGAATGGGGAAAAAATTACCATGTCATACTAAGACAACCATTAAACACTTTCATTAAATCTCAGAATGTAACCATTGGCTGCACCTTTTGGAGCCTTCCTACCCTCACCTATGGCCATGAACTCTGGGTAGTGACAGAAAGAATGAGATTGTGGATACATGTGGTTGAAATTAGTTTCCTCTGTAGGGTAGCTGGACTCTCTCATAGGGTGAGAAGTTCAGTTATCTGGAGAGGCTCAGAGTAGAACCGCAGCTCCTCCACATCAAGAGGAGCCAGCTGAGGTGGTTCGGGCATCTGGTAAGGATGCTTCCTGTGCACCTCCATAGGGAGGTGCTTTGGGCATGTACGACTGGGAGGAGACCCCAGGGAAGACTCAGGACATGCTGGAGAGACTATGTCTCTCAGTTGCTCTGAGAACACCTTGGGGTCCTCCCAGAAGAGCTGTAAGAGGTGGCTGTGGAAAGAGATATCTGAACCTCCCTGCTCAAGCTGCTGCCCCTGAGACCTAACTTCGGAACAAGCAGAAAATGATGGATGGATGGATGGATGGATGGATGGATGGATGGATGGATGGATGGATGGATGGATGGATGGATGGATGGACAGCCCAACAGTGGCTACAACTCAGTGAATTTAACAGATGTTCATGTGATATTTGGCAAGGAGGTAACTGAGAGTCAACTCCAACACGTACTTTGAGTGCCACACATTTTTGTTTGAAATTTTGGACAAAGTATCTCAAGAACAAGTGGACAGATAATAATAAAACTCGGAAAGTTATCCGTGAGTACACATTTACAACTGAATAACATTAAAAGTCAGCTCAGCTCAAGCTGGCTGCCATTAGTCAACAGAAATTTACAGATAAGACCAAAAACCTGACCTGGTAGAAGCTCAGATCCATGCATGACTCATACTCTGAGCCCTAATATACAGACTGCAATATTTCATATTTCATAGTAGCATTCAAAATGTTTACAAGATTATGACCAAAATAGAATTAACTTTCTCAAATATGCATTCCCTAAATGAATGGTAGGCCTTTGATTTTGTTCTTTGTAATTTAAACAGTATATTCACCCTTATGCAGTCAAGACAAATAACCCTGACTTGCATGTTTATTGTAAGTGTTCTGTTTTCTTTTAATTAACCTAAATTAAATGGCAAATATGACTACTAATAAGATGCTTGAAAAATAACACTGAAAATAATGTATTTGCTATGTGCTTTGTTTGCTTTTAGGCTACAGAATTGGGTGTAATTAGAAAAAATAACTGGGATCTTGGTCTTGTAAAAACCCTTTCAAAGACATCTAACTAAGTCAGGTCCTCTGGACAGATTCTGAGACTAGTTCATCCCAAAGATCCAGTCCCCTGGCACAAACAGAGTAATATTGTGTATGCTGTTCAGTATCAGGAGGGTGATCAGTCTTACATCGGGGAAAGTAAACAGCCACTGGCCAAAAGGATGGCCCAGCACAGAAGATCAACATCATCAGGCCAGGACTCTGCGGTCTACACTCATCTGCAGGCCAGTGATCACTCTTTCAGGGATGAAGATGTTCACATCTGGGCGGCTGTGGCTGAGTGGTTAGAGCAGTCGTCCTCCAATGTGTAGATGAACAGATGCTCAGATATATTCATCAATTAACACGGATTCCTCATTTTTCTGGACTGAATAAAACGTGCATTGAATTTAAGGAAATGCAAACGTGAGACGTCATTTATATTTGACCCATCAAAATGAATGCGGTCATTTATTTACAGAATCAAAGTTTAACATCAAACATTTACATTAATTTGGCAAATTATGAAAATAACAACATAAGCAATCAATCAGGAAAAATCATACGGCCATGATTTTTCCGTTGCTTCACCACAGACATTTATGAAACTGTACAATTATGATCTTTTACCCACACGGATGTGGATGAGCATTTTACACAGACATTTCTAAATATCTGGAAGAATATCTACTTGATAGAAAGTTTAAAGATGGGAAAGAAGTTTAGAGGGAGTAAAGATGGTATGGGAGGGGAAGTGTTCACCAGAACCGACACTCTCCGTCAGAACCCAGCTCTCCCCGGTACGCTTGGTAGGAAACTTGACTCGTTACCTTTCTGAAGTTAATCAGCAGATATGGAGCTCCGTTAACGCTACCTGTCCAGCGTCTCCTTAGGATGCTGTGAATCGTCAGAAGTAGTGGCGAGTGAAAATGTTATAATCCCATGGAACTCGGAAGAGCTCTGTTGTCATGTCAGGATCATCCCGTCTCTCACAGAACTGGGCTTCTCCGCACAGATCTCGAGCAGAGGCTTCTACAGAACTTCTAACAGAACTGAGTAGACCAGGAAGTACCGACAATTTAAAGAGCTCTTTTTCCCGGTTCATACGGGAGTCTCCCATTGGCCAGAAACAACCAGACGGGGTGTGTTTTGTGACGTAAGAGGTTAGAAGACAGCAAGAATTGTTATGAAACGATCAGAAATGTTCTCACAGACAGAGAGAGTTTTGTTTTGGCGCGTTTCAGAAACAGGTGCCAAAAACCTCTATATTTACGTCTGAGAGGATTCTAAAAACATGATAGTTCGTTCCAACAACTTGTTTTGCATTTGACTCCAACCTTGGACCAACTTACACTTGCTCATTCAAAGGCAGAAATCAGAAAATGCATAAAAATCTGTAACAGACCTCAACATGAATTCTAACTTTGCATGAGAAAAATCATTACACAGTTAATAAAATTGATTAGTTCACTGCAACATCTAAAATGGTTTGAACTAAGACATTTTGATTATCAACATTTGTAAAACAGTAATGATAATAAAAAAGAGAGTGTTCTTTCACATGAATCTTCAAGAGAGAAAGTCTCAGGATGGGTGAACCTGCATTTCTGGATTCAAATCAATAAAATGACAGTTCCTGTCCCACAAGGTTCTTAAGGTCAATATTTTTGACCTTAGACTTAGTTTTTGACATGGGCCTAGTCCACTACAAATGCAAGAGTCGGGGGTTCGATTCCACTAGCAGTCACATGTTGAAGTGTCTCTGGTCAAAACACTGAACCCCTCATTGCCTCCGATGTGTGTCCCATCGGTGTATGAATGTGATCTAAAGCACTGATTAATCTAGTAAAGTGCTGTATGAATGGGTAAATGAGGGCACAGATAGTGCAATGCGCTTTAAGTATCTTGACTAGATAGAAAGGCACTATATAAGTACAGTCCATTTACCATTTACATCCTTGATAGAGAGGAATGTTGGTTAGAGAGAGGAGAAAAGGAAACCATCTTTGTCAAGAGTCCATTCTTTAAACAGAGGTGGAGGCCTCTGTGTTCAACTGTCCCCTGCTTACAATGCTGCTATTCCTAGTATCAAGGCGGAGGACAATCTACGAGTACCACCGCATGGAGCTAACAACAGCCAGGATCATCAGTTCCACAGCTGTAGAAATAGCACCTTTACCTAGTATGAAGTTTTTCTAAAGGCTTTTTTTCTAAATGGACTCATTATACTCAAATTTAAAATTAGACATTTTCAGTGATTAACTGATCTTAAGAATGGTTTGACCTTTTTCACTCTGCCTGTCTGCAGCCTCCTAGTATCACTGAGCCCTCTGTGAATAGCAAGTGGCCATCAGGACACTAATGATTAGACTAATGTCCTCCTTTTGCATGTGAGCAACTAGTTCTGACTCATCAGCAAACTGGTTGATCCACTATGAGGAGGTGATGTTTATAAGACTGAGTTTGTTGCAGCTCCTCAGTCTGAAGAAGTCTTTTGGATTAAAGACAAAACGTTTCAACAAGAAGAATCCTTCCAGAGGACCTGACTCAAACTTTTTTGATTTTTCTACCTTTCATTCTTTCACATTCAACCTTTATGTATACAGGTTAGTCCCATTGAGCCTCACGGACTCATTTACAAGACAGACCTGATTTTAACAAAGGAAGCTTGGATTATTGGACAATACCGGGATTATTGAGCAGCATCAGGACCTTTCAGAGACGTATTTTTTTCCTGATTTGTTTCCCACCATGCAGTCAGCGTTTCAACCACTTGACAACACCTGAAGACAGTTAATTCTCTACCTGGAGCCGAGTCTCATTTCTTCTTCTACTCTCCCCTTTTTTCACTTCCCTCCACTGATCCCTGCTGGTGGGGTTAATTATTTCCAAAGAACAAGGCAGAGAGTTAGTAACATGGCACCAGTTTGACTGAGGCAACAGTCTATCTTTGTGAATGGAGATAACATTTGCTGTACATACACCTCCAGCTCTGTTAACTGCAGGGACACAAGAGCAGACAAGCTCCCACACAAAGGCACATGGCCTACTTGATTGATAGCCCTCCTTTTTCAAGCGTTTCTCTCTCTCTCTGGGGGTGTATCAAAGCTCCCCGTACACAGTCATGCAGTCATTCCCTCTAGGCTCAGGTTGGGTTATTTGCAGCGCTGCAAAACCTTATGTCTGTCATTAGCCAGGGGGAGAGTGAGGCAAGGGTGGAGGAAGGTTAAACAACAAAGTGGATGTTTGACATCGACCAACAGGTGCTTTACACTTTCTTGTATCAAATGTTATTTCCAAGTAAGAACTGTATGAATCATCTTTGGAAGACTAACTGGATGGATTGTGCTGTCCTCGCAGGCCTGAGCAACGCAGAGTGCCAACAGCAGGGGAAGGCCACGTGCGTTAGCATCAACTGGACGCTGGGCGACTCACAGTTGGAAGTGGTCAACACATCAACAGGGCGCAGGCGAGATTTAGGGACGCCTTCACGCCTCTGCAAACACGCCCTGTTTACCCGCTGGAACAGACTCGACCGCAAGGTGAGGGCTGAGAACGACAAAACTAAAACTCAAACTAAAGGGACAATAACATGCTCTTTCTGTCACACTGTGTTCATAAAAGTTAAGACGAGTTTACATTTTTAATACTGACTATTCTTCCACACCTTAGTTTAGTTTAGTGTTTATTTATCATATGCAGGTCAACACAAGTTCAACAATTCAATTAAATGCTCAGGACGAAAAGAATCAGAATAAGCTTTACTATCAATGCACCAAGATTTTTTTTTTTTTTTCCTCTGGCTCTCGCTCGAGGTGGCTGCTTGTCTTCCCTCTCCCATTTTTCCTTCCTCCTGCTTCGCTCTCTGTGTGTCTGAAGTGCCTGGTACACATCTTCTGAACGTAAATTAAGATTATGGATCTGGTAACCTGGACGTTCAATGCTATCGACAAAATTTTTTCAACAGAGAACCCGGAGAACCCACTTGTCCAGCTGAGACGCACACTGTGGGGTACGTCATGGATCCGTGGGGCGTGTGGCAGTTGATGTACCTCTCCGTCCTGTCGCAGGAAGATGCTGAAGATGTTTACATATTTGGATTTATGATAGCAGAGATTCTGCTTTTTGGCATAGGTGGGGCTCTGTTTTATCAACTATTGAAAAAAAAAGACATCGGCAGCAGTTTCGGCCATGACAAAGCTTCCGAGTCAGTATGAAGGTTTGGTTTGTGCTGTGAGTACTCAAAATCAGCTGATTCACGAGCTAAACCATAAGGTGGAGGCAATTCATGAGAATTGCAGGCCACTTGCGGCTTCTGGGACTTGTCAGCGTGGTAGAAGCGACCTTGAAGGAGGTTCATAACATGGATCAGTGGAATGGATTCCCATAATCAGGCCATTTTGAACGAGAAGGACTCAACACTGATGAAAAAAATCTGTCTACCTGAAGAAAATCAACAATCAAAACGTATCTGAATCTGACTCCCCGTTGGCCTCGGAGACGAGCCGACTATAAAATTTCTCCTGGGTCATGGGTAACCAGGGATAAAAGCTTTATCTATCGCACACACACACACACACACACACGAGAACTTTCTGTGCAAGCTTATCAGAACTGCCAGCTGAAACAACATCATCAGAACTGTGGCCGATCTGAAAAACGCTCATGGACAAATCTCAACGTCTTGATGTCAAATGCATCTCATGTTTTTAAATGTGCTTGCTGGTAGAGGGCTTTTTGATGTCTCAAATCGTGTCCTGATAGACAAGATGTGAAATATCTTTTTTTGTAATACCACTATCTATCCTCATGGTTCTTCCCCTTTTTCCTATCTAAGAATAGTATTCTGAATAAGGATAAGAAAGGCCTCGCTTATAGCAGCAGCTTCGTGCACTCCGTCCATCTTCTGGATGACTGTATGCATATGTTCTCGTTGTATCTTGGTGCAATGATAATAAAGCTTATTCTGATTCTGACACAACGAGAATATGTCTGTATAGTCATCCAAAAGATGGGTGGAGTGCACGTAGCTACTGCTATATAGTGCGGCCTTCTTATCCTTTTATGAATACATTTTTAGATAGCAAAAAGGGGCAAAGCCATGAGGAGAGTATAGTGGCATTACAAAAAAGATCTCTTCACACCTTGTCCTAACAGGACACGATTTAAGACATCAAAAAAACTCTGCCAGTAAGCACATTTATGAACACGTTACATATGCATTTGACGACGAGCGGTCCCTGAAGCACCAACAGATAGTCCATTGTCCTGATAAGATGATGGTCAGCCAGCACAGTTCTGATAAGCCTCCACAGAAGATGGGGTGGGGTGGGGGCTTTGTGATAGGTGAAGCTGTTCCTTAGTTTGCACATTTCCCAGGAGAAATTGATAAGTCGGTCTGTTTCGAGGCCAACCAGGGAGTCAGATTCAGATAATCCACAATTGTTGATTTATTCAGGCAGACTATTTTTTCTTGTCAACCTTGAGTCTTTACTGGTACTTCCAAGGTCCGAAATGGCCAGATTAGGGTGCATTCTACTGGTCCGTGCTTACGAGCCTCTTCAAGGTTGTTTTCATGCTGACAAGTCCCAAAGCCGCAGGTGGCCTGTGATTCAAATCACTTCCATCTTATGGTTTAACTTGTAAATCAGCTGATTTTGAGTCCTCAAAGCACGAACCAAACCTTCCTATAGGCAACAGCCTGACGAGGTCTAAAGCTGTGGCCGTCTTCTTTGTCTGTTGATAAACCAGGATCCAGACTATTCCAAAAACAGGAAACCTGTTATCATAAATCCAATTATATGCAATTTTGGCGTCCTCGATCGACAGCAGAGGTAGACACATCACATTCCACTTTCAGAGATATATTCAGCTGCACGTGTTGTCCAAGCAGATGAGGGTTCTCCAGGACCCTGTCACTTTGTTGAAAAGATTTTGTCATTTGCGTCAAAAGTCCAGTTGGTCAGATCCAAAACAGTTGTTTTCATTTTGGAAGATGTGTAAAAATAGAAGCTGCTTCGATACACAGACAGAGAGCAGAAAAGCAGGAGGAGAACAGGGAGGGGGAAGAGAATGCGTGCACCTCGTTCCAGAGCCAGTGAGGAAAAGAGCCATCCCAACTCACAAAAAAGAAAGAAAGAAAGAAGAAAAAAAAAAAAAGAAACACAAAGCATGTAAAGCAAAGCACCAAAAGTAAAAATGTAGAATACAGTGCTGCTAGTAGGATGTACAAACAAGTACTTTTAGCAACATGGTCCCGTTAGCAGCATGGTCCTATGAGCAGAGTGGTTCTGTTAACTGTAGTTGCTGAGAACCTCACTGCTAACAGTATGGTTCTGTTAGCAACGTGGTCTTGTTAGCAGCATAATGATAATAACAACCCTGGCAACGGATGATGACTGCCCTCCAGAACCAGATCCTGCAGACACAGAACATCCAAAGTTTCCCCACAGAACCAAATCGTTCCATATAGTTTGCTTCGTGCAGGCAGATGGAGGGTCATGGAGACGACTGCCATGACTGGCTGTAGCCTGAGCCCAAGGAGGGAAGGGGGCTGGAAACTGAGCCAAGATGGCAAGGCAGCAACGCACAAAACTCCAAAAGTGCATTGCAGTCATAACTGTAGCGTGGGTGTGCAGTGCAGGTGCAAAAAAGTCTAAACAAAAACAACAAGAACAAAAAAGAGCGAGTCGAAGCGGAGCTCCCATCAGTGCTGCCATACTGCGGCGCACGTCACGTGATCACCCTAAGAACAGGGCCTGGCATTGATGGCTCTCCTCACAGGCAGAGGGTCATTGGGGAAGTGGCTTCCTGTTGTTTTTGCAAGCTTTGTTCAGCTGAGCCCCAGGATGGCTGCTCAGTCCAGCCAGCTGCCCTCCCAGGCCTAACTGCAAGAAGGTGCCACAGTATTTCTGATCTTGCATAGTTGCCTGATCAATGTGGTTCTCCTTCATCATCAAGGCCATTGGTAACAAACCTTCAATCCAAGAGTGGCCAGGCTCAGTTTTGTTATCCTGGTGCACATTTGAGGCTTTGCGCTCCACGTCAGTGCAGCTGAGTTCTTCAGGGGACCAGGTCTTTTGAAGAACTGTTTGGTGAACGAGCCGTATGTTATTAGCAGAGCGGAAAATAGAAAAACCGTGCAAACTGGGATATAATCACCATATAATTTTTTCTGCACAGTAGTCATGTTGTTGATCAATTTAAATGATCTCTATGTTAATTTATATGTTTTCTTCTGTAATTAACCTTGTACTAGGCAAGTAGCACATGTTTTTAAAAATGTATAACAAAAGTATTTATGGCAATTAGTGAAAGAGTGGTCCAATAGATCTGCCATGGGTCTCCTTCTGAGTACAACTGCAGTCAGCAGGATGAAAAATGGATACTATCTTGGATTTTTAGATGGCAAATTTGGTAGAATTGTTCAGTAGACTCTTGGGAATTACCATTTTAAACTTGGTGCTTGGGTCACATGTTGCACTATTCTTGGTTTTAGCTGCTTCACTGTAGGTAGCTTTGGGATGTTTACAGCTTCATTGTAGAAAGAAGACAACCAGTGACTTCTAAGATAAAGTGTGACAGACATCACTTGGGTTAAGAAAGTATGAGATATGAATGAATGTTGGACTGAAATGTGTTCTGTACAACCTGGACACATGAAAAAAAATCTTCACTCGTCACATATGTGTATATGAGTCCACTTTAATATTATTTATATTTGAAGACTCGTTTTTTAGGCACATGCATTTGGGAGGAGACCCCGGGGTGGACCCAGAAATCACTGGAGGATTATGTATCGTCTCTGGTCTAGTAAAGTGTGTCCCTGAGAAGAGGGTGCCTTGGTCTCTTCCTGAACTTGTAATGTCCACATCCTGAATTTGGATTGGCATTGAAAACGATGGACTCACCTTTCGCATGTCATGACATAACAAACTGTCTGAGCAAAGGATTCTTTGCCATTTAAAAGTTACTCTTATTTTATAGTTTTATTTGCTGTAAGGTATCATTAAAATGAGGTTAAGCCATAAGCATCGCAACCATTATATGTGAAGGGTACCGTACTTGCCACCGTACACGTCACATTGCCGTACAAGTTACATCAGTCCAAAAATGTCTAATAAAGTGGAAAAAAACACAAATAAGTCACTTTGCCGTATAAGTCGCATCTATTATGCATCACTGCTGACATGTCGCATTTGTTACGTGTCACAGCTGATGCGTCGCGTTTGTTATGCGTCACTGTTGACAACCCAGAAACATGGGCCGGTGTTGTGCCAAAAATTGATTGCCTGACAAATGGCGGCCGCGGGAGCGTGCACGGGAGAACTTTAACAAGGATTTAATAAGATTAGCACTTAAAAACAATCATTTGTTTGCTCGACATTATAGTAAAGGTGTGTCTCAGTTGAACTTTTCCTTAATAAATGCACTTTAATGGTCAAATCAGCTGCATTTCACCTGGGCGGTGCGGTGAAATGCAGCTGATTTGACATTGACTCCAGGAGTTCCAGAGCGAGACGAAGGTGGTTTAATATGGAAGCCAAGTGTCTCATTAATAGCCACTCTTACATATTAATGAGACACTTGGCTTGCCATACAACTCGAGCACCCTCTAACGCCTGAAAATGGTAGTGTTCAATATTTTCCATGTCAGAATGAATGAAATCGTCAGACCTCAGCCAAAAATTGTGTTATAAATATGGGGGGGGGGGGGGGGTGTGTAAACAAGTTGATCCGCTGTATAAGTCGCAACCCATGCTGATTTATGCAAAAAAAGTGTGACTTATACAGAGAATAGTATGGTACATGTCCCCCTCACTTTTAAAATATCCTCATTTGGACTGCACCCACATTTACCATGTTGGTGGGTGGGTGGGGATGGGGGTGGGGTGGTAGGATGCGTGAGAGAAGTGGAGCGTGCTCTAGTCACACAAGGAGTGCTGTTGGTCAGGCTACTTGTTGTTGCTCTCTAAAGCAGTTATTGAATCAAGTGTTTACTTATGGAGGTAAAACTAGATGTTTAACAACCTTTTAAAATACACCAGAATGCAGGAAATGGCATCTACTGTATTCAAAATTTTGTAGGGGAGAACCCCCAGACCACTCCACCAGTGCATCCCCCCCACACACACATTACAAATGCTTCTGACACCAGTGGGTTAAGCAATAATCTTGTCTCAAGTAACGTTTTACCTAACTCCAATTTGCCGCTGCTGTTGTCTGGAGAGTCTGTTGTCATTACGACTCACATCACTAAAACAGAAACGTTAACTACAGAGACACATTCAGAAACTTTAAAAAAAGGAACAAATATGTGTTTTAAAATCAGTCACAGAGCGCCTTGTGCGGAGGAAATGTGGAGTTTCCTCTCTGCTGTTGATGAATTTGTCGTCTTGGCAACATCTGCCGTCTGAGCGACCTATCAGAAAGCGTCAGCGCGGGTCTTCGCTCGCCGCATTTCCATTTCCATTCTCAAACTTTACGTAACAGACGCCGCCTGCTCCGGCAAATGGCGGCCGTTAAAGCATAATGACTGTGAAAGCATAATTATTTGGAGAGGTGCTCGCCGAGGCGCCCGCCCTGAGTGCTCCCCGCACGCCGCATATGAAGGGCCACGCAAGAGCAGTCGCACTAATCTCCAAAAGAAACTTTTGCTCTCTCCCCGCCGATCTTCACTGTTTCCCCTCACGACGGAACAGAAAAAAATATCACAAAGAAAGTGCAATTGCTTGTGAAATTTAAATGGGGAGATTACACAGCTGTTGAACCCCCCCCCCCCCCCACACACACACACACACACACACTCACACACACACATACACACACGCCATCCAAGAGCCACACAAATGCATTTGTGCCGCCTCATTCGTTTTGTTTTGCTCGCTCCTCTTCATCTTCGCACATCATCCTCACTAAACCCTCTGCCCCGACGCCCCTTTAAGCGTCTGCCTGTCCGTCTTCTGTCTCCCTGTCTCCAGTTGGGGGTGTCCAGCTCGGCAGACCACCAGCTCATGTACTGCGAGGCTAAAATGGCGGCACGTCCCTACCAGTCGGCGAAGCAGCAGTGGTTCCGGTCGCTGCAGGAAGTGGGCCTCGGCACGTGGGTGAAGAAACCTTCAGAGCAGGAGCAGTTCCTGCCGCCGGTCTGAGCTGCACCAGGAGTGTGTGTGTGAGCGTGTGTGTGCGCGTGTGTGTGCGTGTGTGTGTGTGTGTGTGCGTGCGTGCGTATAACCTTTATTTTTTTAGGCTAAGATTTTACAAGTTCATACCTGGACGTGCACCATCTAAACTCAGACTCCACGTGTGTTTAAACCAGCGAGTGGAGGTCAGCGGAGGGAAACTGGACGTTTACGTGACTTTCTTTAACAAACACCCGTCTGAATGCGCCCCCCCCCCTCCTTCCACAAACCCCTTCTTCTGCTGTCTAGGAAAGAGTAACCTTGAGCAGAATGAAAGGCAGCTACTATCTTGTCATCAGCTATTTCTGGGCCCCGAGGCTCCCGCTGAGGAGCTGAGCCACTGGGGGAGGGGGGAGGGGGGGGGCACGGGAAAAAGAGAAGAAAGAAGGAAATCGAGGGTCCACGTTCAATTATCAGCCCTGTCAGGGTGATGGGGACGGAGAGACGGGAAGGACAGCCCGCCTCACCTTCATGGCTTTTATTACTATCTCTGTCCTCCTTCTCTACTCCCCCCATCACTCCATCCCCCCCCCCCCCCCCCCGAGAGGCCATCATGACACCATGGCAGGTAATGCACCTGTACTGAAACGTCGCCTAAATACAAGATGAGGCGTTTCTTTCTCCCACTCTTCTGTATCTTTAGATCTGCACCTTTTGTTTTTTTTATGTGTGAGACCTTGTCCACCGGATCTCCTCGTCCACCAGATCTCCTCATGCTCTGTGGTCCTGACCGCCCCATCGTTACGGTCCGGGCAGGTTTTCTGACTGTTCAGCTGCGGTTGGTCCTGATGTTTAACACTCTTCATCCAGGCCTCTCTCTGTTCGACCTCCTCATGTTCCATGGTGCGTTTGAGTCTTCATCCTGATCACGGCTGTTGTTCTCTCATTTCTTCACTTGAAATAATTCAGTGTCGGCGCTCAGACTGCCGGAGGCTCGGCTGCTGTCAGCAGGAGCATCCAAACAGTGAGGGTGACATCTAGTGGTTTCCTCCATTGCAGCATAAAAAACATTTAAACAGACGAATTAACACAAAAACTGCAGATCTGACTCAGTGGATTTACAAAACTACCCCCCACCCCATGGCAGGATTTTCTGATTAATATTAAGACATCAATATTTCTAATAGTTCTGTACAACTGAACTGGAAACAGTGAATTAAACCTGTTGCATAAGTATGCACACCCCTCTACTAACAGTGTGAAGCAGCGTGTTTAACGACAGCAGAGTTCTTAGATACTCGCCTGTCATCAGTGAACGGGACAAACACCGGTTTGATTCGCAGAGAGAGCTTAAAAAACACGTTCAAAGACATCAGTCAACAGTAGACAGTTAGAAAACACGGGCCTTTAAAAAACTGGACATATCTAAAAATAGATGTTTATCTTTACAAAGAAAAACATTCAGGCTCAAATAAGTTTTAGAAGAAAAAAACATGAAGTCTGTGAAAACTGTGAACACTGTCATCGTCTGACGAAGCCGTAAACTTTTAGGCTACACAAAGAGTTTGGTACAAACTGAACAGTGTCCCCACAGTGGGGCACGGCGGCGGCAGCATCATGCTGTGTGGGTGGTGGGATTAAACTGGACCTGGATGGACACGGGTCGCAGCCAAACTTCCAGGTGTCTGCAGGAACGCTGAGAATAAAAAGGATTTGATCTTTTCAAGGCAGCGACTTTAAGGACGTGTCCAGACAAAAGAAGTGACTTGGCTTCATGAAAGGAAACTTGTTTTGGGATTGAAAGTTCAGACCCATTTTTAATTTTTATTTTTTAACGTGGTTGTGAGCCGCCCAGCAGTCTGACAGATGTTAAACCAATAAATATTAATCAATTAAGGCTCATAGACTCTTACCTAAAAGAGAAAAAACTATTATTATAATTCAAACAAGAAGTACTTCAAACTAAATATAATTTTAAAGGTTATGAAAACAAACTTTTTAGACTTTATATTTTCCCTCCTAAAAGTGGAAACAGTTTGAAACGATTTATTGTGGTTTTATTTCTTTACAATCTTTTGAAGTTTAGGTGAAAGCTTTTTTTATTTCTCACTCTGAGGCTGAATCGCACCCATCTGAATATGATTCATTGAATTATAATTAAAAAGGAATGGCATTTTATTATGTAATCTTTTATAAGTGCTGTAATTTATTTATTTTTTTCCCCTCTCCCTTTATTTTAATTAAACATAGAGACTTAGAAACAACGATTGTAAACCTGAGTCTGAATGGGATACGGCAGATTTCAAAGAAAATATTAATTCTGTGATTTTATTTTCCAAACTGTGTCGTCTCGACCTCAGTAGAAACATGCCAGGTTCATTAATTTATTTGATTTAATTTAGTCTCGGTGGTCAGAGAGTTGCTGGAGTTAAAGCAATCACGAAGAAAAGTCTCACGATGAGTTTTACTTTAAACAGCAGCTGCGTCCTGCTCGGCGATCCGATCGTATCCATTGTCATCCCTCGGAGTTCCCTTACATTTATCGTATCACTCGAGATGAAAAGAAAAAGTATTTAGACCCTTCTTGTACAATAGCTTTGCTTCTCCTGCATATAAACACCTCTTCTGTTGCCATGGAAACCATCATTAAAGATGCTTAAAGTGATATTAGTAGTTGAACAGAACCAAAGTTGATTGTTAAGTGTCTGTGATCACAGAAATACTAACAAGAAAGTGTCCCAACATGAGGAGGACACACTGACCAGAGCTAAATGTTTTTTTTCAATAAGACTTCCTGTTGATCCGAGTCCAGAAAAGGTCCGGGAGCACTGATCCGTCTGTTTATGCAGATTCTTAGTGATCCAGGTTGTGACGTTTCACTTCTCTTCAGTTCAGAAGACAAAAACTTTATCCATAAAACTAAAAGTGTTTTCAACCCACTGAAACAGGACACCGCCCTGCGGGATCCCACGAGCTCAGAGTGTGAAGCAGATGTTTTTGTCATCTTATTCAGACAATATGGCCGCCTGTTTAAACATCCGTCGGTACCAGAACTCCTCTGACCTTTGGGTCACAGCCCTGAGATGGAGCTAATCCCACACAATGTAAAGAAGATGGATTACGAATGGGGGGTCTGTGGAAAACTTATGAATAAATAATATCTTACCTGTTGTAGAGCTTTTTGAACATAGTTTAACTCTCGGAAAACATTATGAGGAAAAATCAGCCACATTTATTTGTGTCCTTATTTTTATTAATTTATAATAAGGACAGTCAATAAACAAGATTTTTTTTTCTGACAAAACCTCAAAATCCTTATTTTTCTATTTTGTCAGAATTTGTTCAAATACTCTCCTAACCTCACAGTACCTTTACTATACTCTTGTGTAGTTAAACTTTAGATTGTTACATTAGCTCACCAGGCGGTGCTCAGCTGTTCCATGTGAGAGCGTCTGTAAAGATCCACAGAGTTCTACTAGAAGCAGAACGTCTGAGGAGTCCCGTTTGTCAACTCGTCCAATAAAATTGTCTTAGTTTGGATGTAAAGAGCAAAAACTCACCTGTAGTGTGCACAAATAACCATTTAGAAGTAAAAAGCTGTTGCACATGCATGCAGGCTGCAGCAGCTGGTTTATCCCAGAGCAGGAAGTCATTAGAGGGTGCAGCGTGTTCCTGCAGCTCTCCATGCATCCAGGTCAGAACAAACAAAAAATGTGTAGAAACTAGTGCTGGGTAGAGTTTTTCTTTAAAGTCAAGTAAATTAAAAAAGAATGTTGACCCACTAAGAGACACGAGTAAGTTTAAATGAAAATAAGGCCTACTAAAGGGGGAAAATGCTTTTTTTAATTGTTTATTATTCCAAAAAATTGCCATAAAATATTTAGTCGATTAAAAAAAATGCTACAATGTGGAGGTTTTTAAAACAAACAGGAGTTAAAATATCTTTAAAAGTCATTTAAATTAGATATTTTTATTTTATGCTCTAAAACATGGAGTAGTTTATTGTGGATAAAAGTATTAAAAATAGTATTTATATGCAGTTAAATAAGATGATCTTAAAACGGATCTAATTTCATAAGATTATTCACTTCTGTTGAGTTAGTTCAAGAGAAATATGAAGGTGTTCCTGCATGAAGTGCTACAGCTAGATGCTGCTGCTATGAAATTCTTCGACTGCCTGTATTTGAGATCTCGTTCTTTCGGTGACTCCTTTAAGGTTGAGATGGTTGGAACGTGCAGCTGCATCTAAAAACTGAACTTTGTGAAAAAAGTTCTACTTTTTTGTCAGTCATTTCAGAAAGTGACACTTGTTTACAGCTTAGACTCATTACACAGAGGGAAACGTTTCAAGCTTTGATTTCTTGTAATTTTGATGAGTATGGCAGTCACAAATAATGAAAAACCAAAACTCAGTGTCTCAGAAACTGAGAATCTTCCACAGCCAGATGTTGGTAACTTTGTCAGTGTGGGCCAGTGCCGAGTCCTGCTGGAAAATTGAACCAGCATCTCCATAAAGCTGGTCAGCAGAAGATGAAGAGCTCTAAAATGTCCTGCTAGATGCTGCATGGACTGAGGACTTCAGAATACTCAGTGGACCTGACCCAAAAGAGGACATGGACACAAACCATCACTGACTGTAGAAACTTCACTCTGGTCTTCAACAACATGATTCTGGACCTCTCCACTCTTCCTCCAGACTCTGGAACCCTCATTTACAAATGACATGAATATTTACTTTCATGTGAAAAAAGGACGTTGGACCACTGAGAGACAGTCCAGTTCTTTGTGTCCTCAGCAGGTAAGACACTTCTGATGTCTCTGGTCCAGGAGTGTCTGGACATTTGTAACTCGTGTCCAGGAGTTCATCAGCTGCTCAGGCTGAGACACCAGGAGTTACAACCTCTTCACTATATTCTCATTCTCTGACACTGAGTTTAGGTTTTTCATTATTTGTCATCTTTGATCATCAAAATGACAAAATAAAGTCTTTAAATGTTTCACTCCATGTGTAATGAATCTATGTAATATACGAGTTTCACTTTCTGAAATGACTGACAAGAATATTCTAAC